GGGTTTAATATTCCCCCAAACCTCACCCCCATTTAGGGTTCCCCTTTTACCCCACTAAACCTCACCCTCATTTTGGGTTCCCCTATTTCCTTTCCCCCATCCATCATTTTAAAGGGTTTTATATTTCCTACCACTTCACCCAAACATTTAGGGTTCAATATACCTATATCCCCACCCCCTCATTTACGGGGTTTACTTAAATTTCCCCTCCTCACCCATCATATTGGGTTCACTATACCCCACCAAACTTCACCATCATTTAGGGTTTTACTATACCCACCATCCTCCCCCCTCATTTAGGGTTTTTCTAACCTACTATCCCCGCCTCATTTAGGGTTTTCCCATAATTTCCATTTTACCCATTTATTTTGGGTTTTTTTATTTCCTAAATCCCACCCCCATTTAGGGGTTTCCCCATACCCCTATCCTCACCCCTCATTTAGGGTTCACTATACCCATCCTCATCCATCATTTTGGGGTTTCCCCATACCTACCTTTTCACCCATCATTTAGGGTTCACATACCTACTTCCTTTACCCCTCTTTACGGTTCACTATACCTACCTTTTTCACCCATCATTTAGGGTTCAAATAACCCACATCCTCAAACCCCTCTTTTTGGGTTCACTATACCTACTATCCTCCCAAACATTTGGGGTTTATATACCTACCCCTCTTCTCCCCTCATTTAGGGTTTTATATACCACCATCCACACCCCTCTTTTTGGGTTCACTATACCTACCAAACCCCACCATTTAATTTTGGGTTTTACTTACCTACCAAACTTTCCCTTTATTTGGGTTCCCCCTTTACCAAACCCCACCCCTCATTTGGTTCACTATCCTACCATCCTCACCCATCATTTGGGTTTAAAAATACCTACCCTCCTCACCCATCATTTAGGGGGCCCTTTTCCTACTATCCTCACCCATTTATTTTTGGGTTCCCCTATTTCCCCCACCTAAACCCCTCATTCAGGGTCCCCTTTACCCACCATCTTCACCCCCCATTTAGGGGTTTACTTTTCCCACAAACCCCACCATCATTTTGGGTTAAATATACCTTCTTTCCTCAACCCCCTCTTTTTGGGTTTTACTTTATAACCCTCCTCACCCATCATTTGGGTTCTCTATACCTACTATCCTCACCCATCATTTAGGGTCATTTATTACCATCTTTACCCAAACATTTGGGTTTAAAATTTCCTCCTTTTCACCCCTCTTTTAAAGGGTTTACTTTTACCTACCATCCTCCCCAATCATTTTTGGGTTCCCCTATACCTATCCCCAGCCATTATTTAAGGGGTTTACTTTTCCTACCCCTCCTAGCCATCATTTAGGGTTCAATATACCTACCATCCTCAACCCCTCATTTAGGATTCACTATACTTGTATCCTCACCCCTTTATTTAGGGTTCCTTTACCTTCCCCACCCCATTATTTAGGGCTTAAATTACCCCACCATCCTCACCCTATAGGATCCTTTCCTACTATCCCCCCCCTCTTTTTTGGTTCACTATACCTCCATCATCGCCCCTTTTTTTGGGTTCAATATACCTACCCCTTTTTTTACCCATCAAATTTTTGGGTTTACTATATACTATCCCCACCATCGTTTAGCGTTCACTATACCCACCATCCTCAGCATCTTTAGGGTTCCCCTATACCCCACCCCTCTTCACCCATCATTTAGGGTTCACTTTAAAAAACTACCTCACCCATCATTTAGGATTCCTATACCTTTCCCCTCCCACCTCATTTAGGGGGTTTACTTTACCTTTCCATCTTCACCCATATTTAGGGGTTTACTATACCTACTATTCACCATTTAGGGTTTTACTATACCTACCCTTTCAACCCCTCATTTAGGGTTTTACCCATACCTATCCTCACCCAACATTTAGGGTTCAATATACCTTTCCTTTTCCCCCCCATATTTAGGGTTCACAAAAACTACCTTTTTTACCCCTCATTTAGGGTTTTTACTATAAAACCCAATATCCTCACCATCAATTTTTCGTTCACTATACCCACCATCCTCAACCCCTATTTAGGGTTTTACTATACCTACTTTCCCACCCATCATTTAGGGTTCAAAATAAATACCGTCTTTACCCATCAATTTTGGATTTAATATCCCCCATCCTCAACCCCTAATTTTTTGGGGGTTTATTATACCCACTTCCTCACCCCTAATTTTGGGTTCACTATACCACTGTCCTCACCCAAACATTTTTGGGTTCCTATTTCCTACTGCCCCACCCCTCAATTTTTTTTTAAAGGGGGGGTTTACTATACCCACTGTCCTCACCCGTTTATTTAGGGTTCACTTATACCCATATCCTCACCCCTCATTTAGGGGTTTCTATCCACTATCCTCACCCCTTTATTTAGGGTTTTTACTAAACCCCGTCCCCACCCCCATTTAGGGTTCAATATACCCACCCTCTTCCCCATCATTTTGGGGGTTACTATACCTACTGTCCTCAACCCCCCATTTTAGGGTTCACTATACCTTTCTGTCCCCCACCCATCATTTACGGTTCACTATACCCACCATCTTCACCCCTCATTTACGGTTCCCCTATACCTTTCCCTCCTCACCATCATTTAGGGGTCCCCTATCCTATCCTAACCCCTCAAATTTTGGGGTTTACTATTCCTTTCCATCTTTTCGGGATCATTTTGGGTTCACATTTCCCACTATACCCATCATTTGGGTTCACTATTGCTTTTTTCCCCACCCATCATTTTGGGTTCAATTTTATACCATTTCCTTTACCCATCATTTAGGGTTTATTACCCTCCTCACCCCCTCATCTAGTGTTCACTATACCCATTTCCCCACCCCTCATTTTCGGTTTTACTATCCCACCTTCCCCACCCCCCCAAATTTTTGGGGTTTACTATAAAACCCACCTTGGGTCCCCCCCCCCATCATTAGGGGTTCACTTTACCCATTATCCCCCAACCATATTTACGGTTTACCATCCTACCCTTTTCCCCACCCTTATTTGGGTTCCCATACCCACCATCCTCAACCCCCTTTTTGGGTTTACTATACTTTTCCACCCCCAAACCCTTTATTTAGGGGTTTACTATACCCATCCCACCCTTTATTTTCGGTTCCTTTTACCTACCTCCTCACCCAAAAATTTATGCCCCACTATCCTATCCTCACCCATCATTTAGGGTTCACTATACCTTTCTATCCCACCCAAATTTTTTTCGGGTTTACTATACCCACCATCCCCACCCATCTTTTTGGGTTACTATACCTTTCCCTCCTTTACCCCTCATTTATGGTTTTTACTATAAAATACCATCTTTACCCATTTATTTGGGGGTTTAATACCTACCCTTCGTCACCCATCCCTTTAGGGTTCACTATCCTACCCTCCCCACTCATTCCCGGGGTTTTACTTACCCACCCTCTTTACCCCTTTAAATTTAAAGGGTTTTCTTTTTCCTACCATCCCCCACCCCCTCATTTAGGGGTTTTTCTAAATTTTCCATCCCCCACCCATCATTTAGGGTTTTCTATTTCCCACCTTTCCCCACCATCAGTTCGGGTTCCAATTCCTTTCCATCCTCAACCCTCAGTTGGGTTTCCCCAAATTTCCCCCATCCTCACCCATCGGGTTTGGGGTTCCAACACCTACCACTTCACCCATCATTTGGGTTCACTATACCTACCACCTCACCCCTATTTAGGGTTCACTTCCTTTCCATCCTCAACCCTTTATTTTGGGGGCTCTATATCTACTATCCTCACCCATCATTTAGGGTTCCTATACCCAACCCTCATTTCCCCCATCATTTAGGGTTCACTATACCTACCACCCCACAAACCAAATTTTTGGGTTTACTATACCCACCCCTCCTCACCCTTTATTTAGGGTTCCACATACCCACCATACACCCCTCATTTAGGGTTTTCTATACCCACCCTCTTCACCCATATTTTGGGTTCACTATACCTACCCCTCCCAAATTTAGGGTTCACTATACCTACCCCCCCCCACCCCATTTAGAGTTCTCTATACCTACCTTTCCTACCCATCATTTAGGGTTCTTTTATACCTACCTTTTTTCCCCTTTTAATTTTTGGGTTTCTTAAAAAAACCCACCCTTCCTCACCCATCATTTTTGGGTTCCCCCTTTTACCTTTCCCTCCTCACCCTCATTTGGGTGAATTCACTATACCTTTCCATCCTCACCCATCATTTTGGGTTCACATACCTACCATCTACCCATTTATTTTGGGTTCACTATACCTTCCCTCCTCACCTAAACCTTTTTTGGGCCCCTATAAATACCTCCCCCCACCCCTCATTTTGGGTTCTCTATTCCAATTTATCCTCACCCCCTTATTTGGGTTTTTTAAATATACCTTCCATCCTACCCATCATTTAGGGTTTTTCTAAACTAATCATCCCCACCATTATTTTGGGGGTTTACTATTACCTTTCCCTCCTTTACCCCTCATTTTGGGTTTCTATCCAAAACATCCTCACCCTCATTTAGGGGTTTACTATACCTACCATCCCAACCCCCCATTTAGGGGGTTTTCTATACCCAATCTCCCCCACCCCTAAATTTTTGGGGTTTACTATACCCACCATCCTAAACCCCTCATTTAGGGTTCACTTTTTTTTTTTACCCCCTTTTTTCCATTTCCCGGTCAAAATTTGGGCAAATTTTTTTTTTTTTGTAAAAATGCATCATGTCTTGTTAAATTTTTAAAGGGGTTTGTCTCTCTAAGGGTTTTTTCTTTTAAAATTTTCTGGTTGTTTTGAAAAATCTTTTTTTTTTTTCAGATTGAGAATTTTGTTAATAGTTTACTTTCACTTCCAACTCAGTGAGCTACCCAGTCTGTTTTTATAGCTTAAATTCCCACAGTATAATTATATTTGCATTCTTCAGCATCATTTGTTGACTTTTTTCCACATTTTTTTCAATATTGTCGTGTTGTAAGTCATACATTATATTTTTTTGCAGGTGGTGGTTGGCGATGTGATCCGTATGGAGAATGACCAGTTTGTAGCTGCTGACGTACTGCTGCTTTCTACGTCAGAACCAAATGGCCTCTGTTATATTGAAACTTCAGAGCTTGATGGGTAATTTGATTATATATATTTGTATTTCAAGTAAAAATGGGCCTTGAAGCAAAAAGTCTATACCTGGAGAGGGTTTCGGGGGTCGACGCCCCTGTGGCCTGGTCTAGGACCAGGCCACGTGGTGGATCAGGGCCTGATCAACCAGGTTGTTGCTGTTGGATGCTACTACCAGTACTACATGTGCATCCCTTCCACAACCATTTTGCTATTGCTTTATTGTTTTGTTTATCACTCTATCACCCACCAAGATTGGATGATGCAAGGATGAAAATGCATTCACCATCACTCATATTATTTAATAACTGTCTTGGGAGAAGTGCATGGATATGCCAGTTCGAATGACCCTCAGAAATGCAATATATCCAGCCTTCATCAGAGTGCAACTATTGTACATTGCACCTCCAGGACTCTAGTCTAACAGGCCTCCCAGACTACCCTCATACTTTGTTAATGCACAGATGCCATATCCCCAATGGAAATAAGTCACTTTGACTCTTTTGGGTTATCCTAGGTTCTCTACACATATGCTGCTATGTATGATAATGTAAGTAACTGTATGTACTTGAATAAACTTACCTATCTCAATTATAAAATATAAATTGTAAGGCTAGTTTAAGCTGTGCATTCATCACTTAAACAATAGTTAATTACCAAAGTAAAAGTATTGGGGTTGATATCATTAGTAGATTAATATTACTTAATGTTGGTGGTTGCTGGGAGTAATCAAGATGAGACTTTAATTGAAGTTGAAACTGTCATTGATGGTCCTGGGTGCTAGTTAGGTCTCTCAGTGGTGACTATATTGATGAAACAACTGTCAGTGGGGGTCCAGGCTGCTAGTTAAGTCTCTCAGTTGTAAACGTGGGATAATTGAATGTTATAGTTTAATCAGTGTAATAAAAGCAATATACATACTGTAGTTGTAAGAGCAAGTTGATATTTAGTCAGTGGTGCTTAATGGCATATTAATAATAGTTTCACTTAGTTTAATATCTTTGTTGTGCCCCACGTACCCATGCTGTGGGTAGTAGTCAAAATATTAGAGGCACATAAGTGGTCCAGGGCTTCACTTATGGCCTAGATTTTGTTTCTGCAATCCATTGTTCACAGGAAAATTGTGTTTTGAAAAGTATATAACTTCTTTCAATAAACCAGCCATATCCCATCGAGGCAGGGTGGCCTAAAAACAAAAATAAAAGTTTCTCTTCATCACTTTAGTAATGTATACTGGAGAAGGGGTTACTAGCCCCTTGCTCCCAGCATTTTAGTCACCTCTTACGACATGCATGGCTTACGGAGGAAGAATTCTGTTCCACTTCCCTTTGGAGATAAGAGGAAATAAACAAGAACAAGAACTAGTAAGAAAATAGAAGAAAACCCAGAGGGGTATATATATATATATATGTTTGTACATGTATGTGTAGTGTGACCAAAGTACAAGTAGCAAGATGTACCTAAAATCGTGCATGTTTGAGACAAAAAAGACATCAGCCATCCCACCATCTTGTAAATCAGTTACAGGCTTCTGTTTCACTCACTTGACAGGATGGTAGTATCTCCCTGGGTGGTTGCTGTCTTCCAACCTACTAATGTGTGTGGGGGGGGGGATGAGATTTTCGCATTATAATCAGTTACAAACACACAACAATATGTACTAGACATATATCTCTCTCTCACCTCTTATACTGTATATGCCATCTTTATACCAACACTGTATCTCTTAAATCTTTTGCACCATATTATGTAAGAAAAAAGAATGAAATGTTGAGGTGGTAGGGGAAGTGGAATATTCAAATGACTTCAGGAAGAAATTGAATTATTCTTTCTTGAAAGCCGTTTATCCACTTCTCCTAGGCTATAGGTCCACATTCTGCACCAGAGGTGGACCCCATCATATACACCTACCATCCGACTTACGACCTGCTCGACATACGACCATTCGACTTACGACCGTGTTTTCTAGGCCAAATTTCTGGGCAATAAACAAGTGTTTGTGTTGTACACAGTGTTTATCCTAAACCTTATAGTAGAAAATAAAGTACAGGTCCGCCATCACAAATCCAGCAATCAGTTATTCAGTTCCTTCAGTTATTCGGCACTAATTTTGGCTAGCATAATTTCAAATTTCCAGGGTCGCCACACCAACCTGCTGGTACTGTTTGGTGGTGCTACTTGCTGCATAAGTCATTCCAATTTCTTTTTCTCCATTTATTGTTTTAACCTGCTTGCTTTTAGCCCTAGCCATGGTTCCAAAGAATAAAAGAAATGCTTCTCATTATGTAAAGCACCTACACAGTACATTATCCATTAAAGATAACGTGGCTTTGAAGCCACTGTCGGTTGCCATGAGGTCAGTCTCATGAAGCAGGAGAATATGCTTTATTATTACGCTAATATCAACACTACAGTTTATTTGCCTATCACAATTGATCTAATATGACATAAGAAACAATATAAATAACATAAAACATGCTAAATACTCCAGAATGAATAATATTTGGCATAACACAGAGCAGTTCGACAGAGGCATGAAGAGGATATGGTATGCAAATACCATTCTCCTATCCCTGTCTTGGTGGCTTATATTAGAGAAAATGGAGTGTAGCACAGGGCGAACTATGATATACACTCGTACTGCACCATAAACCTGAAACAAAAAAGTTATTTTCTCTCTATAGAATCACACATAGCAGCATATGTGTAGAGAACCTAGGATAACCCAAAAAAAGTCAACGTGGCTTATTTTTAGTACCTGGCTTGGGTTAGCCATATATGATTTTTGGTAAATATTCGATTCCCAGCCAGGGTAGAAACATTAGGCGTGTTTCTTTACACCTGTTGTCTATGTTTACTCATCAGTAAATGGGTACCTGGGTGTTAGCTGACTAGTGTGGGTGTTATCCTGGGACACTGGCCTAATTTTCTTGAAATACTCTGCATAACAAGCAGCTTTCTATACAGTAGTATGTCACTGATGTCAGCTAGGCCTGTATACCTTGTACATGTACGTGTAGTAAATAGATATTATTATTATTATTATTATTATTATTATTATTATTATTATTATTATTATATTATTTTCTCAGTTGTTTGTTGGGTTATCTTATTCAAACTTGGGCAATGTATGATGGAAAGATACTTCTTCACGTACACCAAAAATGAAAGAAATCAGACCATAAATAGCAGAGTTCACTTCTCAGCCATTAGCGGCCGCTTAGCAGTATATTTTTGTATCGTTGTTATGGTTATATTCTCATTTTTTCGGTCTCATTTGATAGAATGAAAGATACATTACAGAAATAGATATGATTTTGATTGCTTTCATGATGAAAAGTACTTTGAAATTGCTCTCACAGTAGCGAAAATGTTCTAGTTTTAGCGAAGCTCAAGAGTAAACAAATGACATCACCGTCCAATACCTGTCCGCCTGCCAGTCTAAATTCCAGTACGGAGTCAAGAATGGCTTGACATCATTTATACAATTATTACAATAATGCAGCAGTCTGCATAACAGTAAATCTTCGTTTTTTTGTGAATAAAAATTCCAAATGAAAAGCAAGAGTAATATAAGAGAGGCCTGGAGCCATGACTAATGAACAGAGAAAATGTTATTTTAGTGCCAGGAATGTCTGCATTGTTTATTCTGGATCCTATTTTGAAATTGGCATCTGTTGAAATTTGTGTGAAATCAGCCAAATTGCCAATTTCTGACCACTTTATTGGGTAGTTGAAATAAGTGAATGGGCAGTTTCTTGTACTCAGTTGACAGACTAGCAGTAAATAAGTTTATTCAGGTATACACAAATACAGTTACATAGATTATCACACATAGCAGTGTATGTATAGAGAACCTAGGATAACCCAGAAAAGTCAGACAAAGTGACTTATTTCCAGTACCTGGCTTGGGCTTGCCATATATGATTTTTGGCAAATATTTTTTTTTCTCGGTTGTTTGTTGGGCTATCTCATTGAAACTTGGGCAATGTATGATGGAAAGATGCTTCTTAACGTACAACATTAGCCGCCTCTTTGCAGTATATTTTCGTATGGTTTTTATGGTTGTACTGTATTCTCATTTTTTTGGACTCAGTTGATAGAATGGAAGATATGTTACAGAAATAGACATGATTTTGATTGCTTTCATGATGAAAAGTACCTTGAAATTAAGCTCAAAGTAGCGGAAATGTTCGATTTTTGCCGATGTTCAGTAAACTGTGTAAGTAAAGTTGGTTAATTTTATTAAGTGTATTCTAACCTAACCACTCTGTAATCCGGCAAACTCGGTAATCCGGCACACTACAGGTCCCACTGATGCCAGATTTGTGATGGAGGACCTGTACTAACAGCACAAAAAGTAAAGTAAAAAAATGAAATACCAAAATAAAACATTAAAATAAACTCATTACAAAAATGTGATGTTGATATTCAGTAGTAAGGTTTGACTTACGTCCATTTCGACTTACGACCGGTTGGTCGGAACCGAACTCGGTCGTAAGTCGGATGGTACCTGTATATATGTTGCACCGAATAAGTAAAACTGGTCAATTAGCAAGAACTCATTTAAAATTAAGTCCTTTCTAAAATTTTCTTTTATACATTTAAAGATATATTTTTTTAATTTATGTTGTAAAAATTAATGATTTTGTATCAGAAGAACCTTAGGAAACCTAGGTAACCTTATTACAAGCACAACTTAATTTAGCCTATTTCAACTAAATATATTTTATATTGGTTTACAATAATTTAATAATAATCACACAATGAAATACATTTTTTTTCATTAGATTCAGAATGACTTTTGTGAAATTATGGCATACACAAATTTTTGCTTACCCTATTCGGCAAGAAGTGTGTTGCTATTTATTTTGGTCTGGTGGCTAAAGCTCTCGCTTCACACACGGAGGGAACAAGTTCGATTCCCAGCGGGTGGAAACATCTCGACTCATTTCCTTACACCTGTTGTCATGTTCACCTAGCAGCAAATAGGTACCTGGGTGTTA